GCGCGACCACGCGCTGTCTGCCCTACCGTGAACACCCACGCTGCTAAAACGCTTACACTAATTTTCCAAATCGATCATGGCCGTAGTGCCTAACCAAGAGAAGCAGACGTAGTACTTGTACAATTAGCGCCCGTATGCACGAACGATGCTTGCTTAAGTAAAGCAACAAATCGAACGCACAGCGTTGAATAGAGCTCTGTGATTGGTTCGTGTGTCACCATGTGCGTCCACACACAGTAATGTTTGTGAATACGGGCGTAGTAAGTATCCTTAACACGTATTCTACATTGATTGGAGAAAGTTGTCACTACAGATTTTATTACTCTATTGGTTGTTTGTGACTATGATGAGTCATAACACCCCTGAGGCATATTCAAGACACAACTTCTGATCTATAATTGGATCTCGTAATTCGGTTTTGAAATGCAGTAATGTTGCAGACTTTCCAATACTCGTATCAAGTTCTTTGAATATTATGCCAATATCAGTCTTCTGCGCCCTCATCTCACGCCTTATCTCCTTTCTCTAAAACATTACCTCATCTGAATTTTGTCGCATTTTACGCATGTTTCAGTAGACGGAATGTATTTGGCCCCTAAAACATCCGCGCCTTACGTGAAAACACATTAATTACGCGCTTAAAACACGTTATTTGGGCATTCCACACACACAGACTTGAAAAATTACACGTCTGTTTGTGTTAGACTAGGCTGCTTATTAATAACTTTGTTAAAAGTTAGACATTTCAAAACTTGCCCGTCTGCTCTGCCCGTGGGTTAGTCGTACAATTACGTACGGTGTGCGGGCACTTTGTGAGAGCCGCCTATTATTCCACTTTAAAAGGCAATTAGTGCAACAGACTCCTCAGTTAACATGATTATATTGTGCAATAAATTATACAAATCTACAAAGGATATTCGTGAATATCGCCATATTTATTAGTGTCAATTTACCTATGAAACATATACCTAATACGAGTACACCTATATGAGTGGGTAAACTATGGTAGAGCTGACTGAACTTCCAGCAAAAGTAAATGCAAACATACATTTCAGTCGTGTTTAAACCAGAGTACGTATTATGCTTCGATGGTTGCCTCTCAATAAGTAATGTTAATTCAGATTGGGGACGTTCTATCTAACTACGCATCCTAAAATCTGGTGTCGAATTTCCACAAATGGAAATCAACCATCGGTAGAGCATTCAAACTCTGCAATAGGCAAATGTACGAACGATACATGAATGCGTTGAGTTTATCTATCATCAGTGGTGCTATTACTAATGGCAAATTGCATAAAAACATACAGATATTTTTAAGTTGATATTAGAGAGACCATGGTGAGGCCTATCGATAGTTACAGGGTTATCTATTGTTTAGGGTAAGGTATTGGGACACGAGTAGAAAAAAAAATTCATGTGGAAACTAAAAAAAAGTATCGGCTTCATACTCGTAATTATTATAATAGTTAACAAGATGAATTCTTAGTATTTTTCCCCGCCATTGAGTCGGAAACGAATGACAAAAACAGAACGAGAGTAACACCACAGTCACACTGGCTCGGAACTTTCCTCCTCATCTAATATAAAAGTTCGGACCAGACTAAGTGAAAAACTACCGCAGCCGTGGATCTCCACCAACATCGTTTCTTCTTTGCCGAGTAAAAAAGTTAGAAGTTTGCTCTCGAAATCAGCACGAAGATTAGTTCTAAATACTTAAAGATGTAATCAAGTACATAGTGTTTTCTGCAAACAATTATCTCTATAGCGCTGATAAACTAAGTCCTACTTCAACGTAACTGCTTCGTTCTAGTTATCAGTTAGTATAGAACAGACGTGAGCCCGCAAATGTAAGGCTTCGGTATCGTTTATTCAAAACCATTTTTCTGTAAGTTTTTATTTGTGTCAAATACTCAGCGCCAACAACATAGTTTGTTAATGTGGATTAAACATACCATTGTCATTAAAACACCTATTGTAACAACCCATTAATGAACTTAAATATTAATTAACTGTAAATGAGATTAAACCTCATTTCAAATTGAATTTGATAACATCGAACTACGTAAACGACAATACCAATACAAAACCGCACAGCACCACCGTGGAATTTCATTTGAGTCGGCAGTTACAAAGCTGCGGCTACGGACAGAAATGAAACAAGTTGGCTAGTCCAAAATATCAGAGGAGAATCGTTTTCCAATACTGTTTTTATAGTTGGTTTATACCTATGTTAGTTAGGTATCGTACACATCGTGATTCGCAAGTGATCAGCGTCGTTCGTGTGGACAAATTACCTCATCTGTCACGCGTCCGCGTCGAGCTCGATTGATGTCGACCGCACACAAACCCGCCCGAAATTCCTTTAATATAATTATACTCATTCGATGTTAAGGCAAAATGAACAATATTCATAAACACGAATCGTTATTGCTATAAAATTTTCATGCAGTCACTTATGAAGATCAAGCACAACATCAACAAAAAAGATAAAAAAAGAAAGATAGAAAGCATTGTAATAGCTAAAGAGACTCTATTAGTATCAAATCTGTCAAATAATTTCAAAACGTTCATATTGCCTATTCAAATAATATTTATTTCTCAGACCAAATGTCTAATTTTAGAACCAGAAAGCAGACCAAAAGTTTTAATTAGTTAATTGAGTTGCCAAGCATCATGTCACCAGGGAGAGACAGTCCGAGATTACTAAAAAATTCATTCGCGGGGGTACCTTAAAACTAGCTGAGGGGATGCCTTATCTTGTAAAACATTCATGAGCGACTGAACCCGAAGCGGCGGAAAGTACTAACACATCCCACCGTCGCTGTAGACGCAATTCTATGAATAGGCTCTTTGTGATCGCCTTATTGTATACCCCAACTTGAATGAAGAGGCTCCGCAGACCCCGATCCACTAACGTCTTTGGTCGGAACCAATTTTTATTTTATTAAGGTTCCGCAGATAATACGGCTATATCGGTTCGCCAGAGAAACTATAATAACGTTCGTAACAACCCTTTGCGTTGGTATTCGTAGAGTTTAATACAAACAAGAAAAAATGGTAGGCGAGATTCTGTTAAGATAACCTTTTGTATTTACCGAGAAAAAAAACATGGAGGCCGGGAACAACTCGGAAAGTCACCTTAATCCTGGCTTAGGAAGCCTCGGTCGATCGGGCGCGGGTAGGTTACCTCTTCGCTCACCAACTTATACTTACATGGGTCGGGACGTCTTATAAAAGTCGACTCTTATTTGAAGCAGTAATATATCAAAACCCCTGAAACATAATAAAGGAGGCGCGAAAAATAAACCTCATCACATAGAACAAGTAAGAACACAGTATTTGATCATTACAACTGCTTACAAGAGGCTTTATAAACCTAGCCAGTTTAATCTATAATCAATATCGTTAAAATATAAATTCCTAACATGAATAGCCGTGATTTCATCAGGTAGGTTTTAATGTCAAGTATTTTCTGAGTAGAGTTCGTGTTTGAGCTGTAGGATGATATCATACCTACCTCTAGTCAATCGTTTCATTCATACAAATTCAGAGAAGCAAAACAAAAGCTAGCTGTTATTTAGCAGCTTTAGTAAGAATAATTTTCCAAATCATTTTCAAAAATTAACGGCCAGATTTTCATATCTGATAATCTAAAATTACTTAATGAATCATTGTTCCTAAGTTGCGGAACCCTTCACTCACGTAATTAGTTCACGATTCCGTGCAAATAGTAAAACCGTCAGCAAAAACTTTGATCATAATTTTGGAATTAATCCAAATTGGCCAATCGTCACAATGGAGGGCGTCCGACCAGCCGGGGTTTATCGTTACCGTTGACAAATTGTAAAGAGTGAAGCAAAATTTTGCGAATCGACGGAGCGAAAACATTGCTAATTGAATTTAAGATCACTCTGCTTGGAATACTCAGATCTTGACTTAGACCTTTGTTTTAATGTTTCTCGTGAACATTTTAGAATATTCGCTTTGGTTGGTTTATTATGATGCAAATTCAATAATATCTACACAGAAATTATTCTTGTACATTTGATTTTAATTTTTGTGTTGCCAAATAAAAATGTGTCATTCAATAAACGTCCTATTGCTCGCACTGAGGCTCAAGAGCAAAAATCTGCTTTTAATGTTTTAAATATGAATTCGCTTCATAAACGGGTTATCGAGAATTTTTTATAAGGCATTTACATTTAAAGTGTGCCGAAAAGTAGTGTGAAAATTGATACATTATTAAATTAACTGGAAATTCGAATTTCCCAAAAATATTCATTTTAAGTAGGTACGGTCTATGTCATGTATCGTATACTCGTAATGAGAAAATTTTCAAGCTTATTATAAACATTTTTAAACATTTCATTCCATGTTTAAAAAGGTCACTTACAAATAAATAAAAATATCTTTTCGTGTCAGGAAATATGTGAGGATTAACCTCTTAACCGAGGAGGGCGCGTTAGAACGACGCAGCGAGTATGGAAAACTGACCTCTTTTTGCCCCGTTCAGACTATCCGCGTCCCATACGATCCCATCACAGCTGCAAGAGTTATAGACCAAATTCGTCACTAGCTTCCGATCAATTTCCTTCAATTCTAAAGATATTTCAACTATCTGAGCTGCTGACTAAACCTGTCGGGTTTATTTTGAGATGAAGCTCCAAAACTTAGGAGCGAACTGCACCATTATAATTTTGTTAACTCCAAGTTCATGTAGTTGAGAATTTTTGACGTTTTCAATTAACGATGACGGCTGCACGCTCTCATTCTTGGAGGGCGAAAATTTCAATTTTCAAGTTCGCTATCAAGACCTTTTCCACGCAAAATTTTATAGTATGAAATACCTAGCACCTCTTTTAATACTTGCTCATCAATATTCTGAATAATGTATTACATTTTGGGATGATAATGCGATAACGATAGCTGTTGAAGATTTCTTCTCACTTAAATAGTTTGGAAAGTAGGTGCTTGTTATGTGTAGTATTATAATAACGTACCTTGGCTTGGAAAGTGATTCCGTAATGGAACGCCTCATCGGGGTGTAGGGGTATCCTAGTGTCATACTCGTCGTTGGGTACCAGGTTGTACTGCTTGGTCGATGGCATCTTCCTGCCCCACTTGAGCAGCTTCATGGGAACTCTCTTCCAGGACCTCAATCGCAGAGCGCGCACGCACCGAGCCTTGTACCCTCGTCTAAACATTTGGAATCAATAATCTCCACTGACCCCGAGATCTGAAAACAATAAAAAACACATATCAATATTGGGTTCCTTATTTTTTAACACGCAACTTTTGCGGTTCCATCTATTTGGGAGAGGTTTGTTTATCTCAGGAACTTTTAATCGGATTTTTTCCAACAATACCTGGAGGATTTTTGAGAGAGACTAGTAAAGGTGAGGTTATGACGACATCAAAACGGACCTTAGGTAGCGACCAGAGCCTATTGTCATTCTACGTGACTCCTATGCAATTTGTAACAGGAGGCGGAGCAAAAGTTTTCGAATCTTAAAAAAGGTTATCTGTTCGATCTATTTTTTTAAGACATATTTTTGACGTTTGCTTCTAAACACGCCGTCCTAGGTTTCTTATCAAGTAGTGAAGTCTTCCATTTGTTTTCAATGAGATACAACCACTTCTAATGGCGTCTATTAGGGTCAACAAGAACAAGACTAGAGAGCCAATCAATGTTAACTGACGGCCAGGCGAGAACGACCACTTCAATTCTGTTTTGCCACTCTGTAATCTACAGAATGCAGCCTTATGCTTTATTACACCAGCATCGGTTGCTACTCGTACAATAACTAAAGTTAGACGCTAAAATTTTAATACGGCATTGGCATAATACACTTTAATGCATGTCTAAAAATTAAGAAAGGCTGTTTAAGAGTGAATCAGCTTCGCCAAAGACGTAGTAGATAAGAAAATTTTAGTTTTAATAATAAAAATGCCCAAGTAATTCTAAAACTCATACTCAGATTTCGGATGTCTTGGGACATCTTTATTTTATTTCTTAGTGTGTAATTTCTTTTGGCTTTCATTCCTTTAACTATCTGACGTGCTTTATCACCGTTGTGTCTTGAGCACAACGATAAGAGCTCCTATTTTAATGACGGTTTTACTAAGTATAGATAAATCCAATTATAAGCTTTAGTATTTTCATAAAAGCTGAAAGTCTCTAGAGTCATTAATTTTGCTCTAACATCGAGTGTGGTTACCCGATACCAAGACACGATAAACAAAAAAGCAATTACAGTATCTGTTCCGTAAATAATCGTTATTTTGCTGTTATAATGCCAATAACGTTTTATGGTTTCAAGATTGTATTTCATCTCCCATTAAGTAACTATCTGCCCACCCCCATTTTGCCGTCGTGTTGATCTATTATAATTATTAGTATTATATCAGTCTATTTATAGACTCTTTGAAATAATTTAGCTTTCAAATGAACGAAATATTTTCGTGAATTCAGGGATTAACCTACAAAGACTAAATTCTCAATCACTATTTAAATACATTAATAGTAGTATGGATAACATCTACTAGGACTATTAAATGGATTTGTGGGCCTGTTTGGATTCAGTTCTTAATATGTTCATCAAGCTTTTAAAAAATTAAAGCACTTCTATAACTTGGATTGCCCCTTCCCACGACTTGAATGAGGACAACTTCACAGAAAAGTACTTTATGTAATTAAAAATTTGTGAAGTAGAACGATAATTGGGCGGGAAACCTCTAGGTACTTTAATACCCTTTAATGGGTTATTCCGTATTCGACCCATGACAACTCAACCCATTTCTTCACTCATCCCAAATTAGTATTCCTAGCTCAACCCATTACATAATTTCGTTATTCTACCCAAATGCATTCCTTACTCAACCCAAAGTAAATATACCAAAAATAAGTATGAATAGCAAAACAACTTTAACTGTATTTTCAGAAATTTAATAATGATAAATACATACTAGTATGTACATTTATTTATAATTAAATGAAAAAAAAACATCACCTACATGAAAAAATGATAGATATGAGTATGTTGATTAACTGAAATATATCAAAGATTTAATTTTATTTTAAGGTAAATTCATAAATAAATTAAGAGGCTCAAACTTATACTGCGGGATTAGCTGTCCACATGAATACTTTATTATTTTTCTTTTGTCATCTCATACCGCTTGAAAAAAAAAACACATTGTATTATTTGAAATATTTGTACATTCATGAACAAGTGTCTGGGGAAAAAATTATACGCCATAGCTTGATTATACTGATTTAATAAAAAATCACAGTCGTTTGATTCATAGTAGATTTATAGTGGATTTATAGTAGATTCTAATTAGTCATTATTTGATTTGTGTCCTTTTGTGAAAAACGTTTTTCAAATATATTATTGTATCAGAACTCCTGCAGTTTTATTTAATAGAATGATCTTAACACAAAAGTTAACTTAGCTTAAATTTCTAAAAAATATATTTTTATTCTGACCGTACATAAAAATCTTATATTTTTAAGTGGTTTTAAAATGAGTTGAGCTAGGAATGTTTTTGGGGTGAATAAGGAACATAAAATTAAAAATTGGCTGTGGGTAGAGTAAGGAACAAAATTGGGTTGAGTAAGGAAAAAATAATGAGTGGGTTGAGTTGTCGTGGGTCGAATACGGAATAACCCACTTTAGGATGTTATAAAAACACCGTACTTAATAATATTTTTGACACTGACATTATTCTTATTAATAAACATAATTATTATTTTTATTTGGAGTACCCTTTTGTATCATTTAGCATGGAATCGAACTAGAAAGCTATTACATCTTGCAGACTATGAAATTCCGCAATACAGCCGATAATCGCCATGCTTACCGTCATTAGATCGTTTCTATAATAACTGTTTTGTATTAGTAATTTTCAACATTCCTAACTCGACCACTATTTGTGAACACATCTATATATATAAAAATGAAACCCGTTTCGCGTTGTCACGGCATCACGTGTGAACGGCTGAACCGATTTCGATAATTCTTTTTTTTTAATGTTTGTGGAAGTCCAAGGATGGTTCTTACGGAAAAAAATATTAAGAAAATCTCTACGCTAAGGCGGTACGAAGTTCGCCGGGTCAGCTAGTTACTTATAAATTAGTATATAAAAGATCTTTTTCTTTTTAGATCTTAGGCCACAGCAGTCGCCTTCGCGTCGAGCGAACGTCAAAATTTTTGTAGAGCAGATGCCTATTATTATGTACGATGCTGTACTAATCCATCTCTACAGAAGACTCTTTTGTTCTATCAAATCGTAAAAGAAAAAGATGTTCCCTCTAATTACTTGTTAAATAACGTAAATACAACTTAACGAATTAAGGAGAGTCTCTGACGCGTGTAAAGTGCCGATTTCGGGGGTATGTATTGGATTTTCTTTAATCAGTTATTCCACCCGGGTGTAATTCAGTTTCAAAGTTTTAGAATAAACGTCGAAAGGCATCCTTGCGAAGTTGTCTCATCGGAACGCCGGCTAACTGGGACGTCGATTGAGAAGTTACGTGAAGCTTCTTAATCGTGGTCCGGGAATATTAATTAGTTGTTCGAGGTTCGATCGAGGCGAATACGAGCCGTTCCCAGCCTAGGCCGTATGCTAAAGAGCTCGCTTTAATAAACAGGGAGAACGTCACAGTTTAACAACTCATTCATAATAACATTGTACGAATACTTAGTTTAGCTCGTCAAAAGTTTGTGCTGCTTACCCAAACATTAGTACAGGAAATATTGCACGAACGCATTAGCATATTAACCACTCAAGAGCTTTTTTGAAACGTTGTATTTAAGCAGCTAAAACTTTCCTACATAAATACACCCAAGGATGAAGAGGCTAAAAGTTATATTATGTATTCTATTGTTTAGTGAACTAAAGTACGCACAGGACCAAAAGGCACACGCCCGTGAATCGCAAGGACTATTTGCTTGAGATAAAATAGTTCACAAGGTTATTTGTTTTGCGCCCCTTTCGCTTGCGCCCGCGTTTCTGTTTCGGCACACTTAAACATGCCTTTACTCACTAATTAATTTAACCTTCCTTTTTAAACTTATACCATTTCCTGCGAAAATAAGAAAATTAAGTAAAAGTACAAGCACGAATCTTCATGTAAACAGCAATAAAACTTTGGATGTCATGATAGAAACTTTAAGTAGATTGATTATTAAGTATACACAGCGCTACTTTGTAATTTTAAGGTAGTTGTATTTGTTTTGATCGACGAGCGCGAAAGTTATTAAACCTACAAACTTATGTACTTTGCAAATTAAACTTATACCAAACTTAGTGAACAAAATATATATTACATAATTTGAGTACTGAACTGAAATATTACACAAGGTTTTAAAGATAAAGTCAATAATTACAACATTACGAGTATTTATCTAGACTTTAATTTGATAATAGAACTTATTAGACTATTTCCAGCAAACGTCTTAAGGACTGGGGAACAGACTCAATGATGAACCTTGGGAATAATTTTAAGATAAAGTTATAAATAAATATACTTATTTAATGGTGAGAAAGGTACAGTAGATGTTGTTACATGTGTAAGAAATTGTGATTTGTTTCAGACTAAAGCCTCGATTTTATTCTAGTCAAGTCATTTTCTTAAAATAAACAAATGAAATATATCAATTTGTAATATTGCACAAACTATTGTCTACTAACTATGTTTTCTTGGGTTTCGACAGACTTAAAACATAATCCCTTTAAGGAGGTTCGAACAGACCTTTCGTGAATGCATGTCTGCCACTCCATAAACCGTAAACGTTTCCGATCCGCCAGGTAATCCAATACAAGTTTCCGATAAACTGGACTTAAAATAAATAACACGAGAAAGAATCCAATTGTTGCACGACTGGGAAGCGAGGCTTTCTTCTTACGTTCTAAATCCCCCAAAAATCTTCATCAATCAACCGAAATTAGAGATAATAATCGTATATTCCAGTATCGCTACCTAAAATTCTGTTAAACTACTACAGGAAATAATAATTATTGTTTCAGCCGAATGACGCGCACTGCTCAATAGGTATAGGCCTCCCCCAAGGATTTCCACAAAGACCGGTCCTGCGCCGCCCGCATTCAGGCACCTCCCGCGACCTTCACCAGATCGTCGGTCCACCTAGCCTGCCCACACTACGTCTTCCGGCTCGTGGTCGCCACTCGAGAACTTTTATGCCTCAGCGGACATCAACTCTGAGAGCTATA